GGCTTGCTCGACTTCTCCATTCTCAGACAAGCCCTTCCAGGCTTGCTCGACTTCTCCATTCTCAGACAAGCCCTTCCAGGCTTGCTCGACTTCTCTTCTGACAACCACCCGATGCCCTCTCCTCCTGGCTGGGGCTGAGGGGACAGGGAAGCCCCCAACCCAGAGCTCCGAATACACACCATTTGTGTGCTCTGCTCTCCCCACGTGACTATGGGGCGTTTCTAGTGAAGGTGACATACATACAACAGTTGGGATCTAAAGGCAGCTCTTCAGCTGAGCAAACCCAAGGCCCTCTCAGGAAGAAGCCTGTCGGTGTGTTGGACAGTGTAGGAGATGGGGTGTGACCCCAGGTTCTGGCCCAAGGACAGAGGACAGCGAGGGACAGGGCCGGGGCCAAAGGACTTTAACAGCTATGAGGCTAGGAAAGGTCACAGGAGAGGTAGAGAGGAGAAGGCCAAGAGGCCAGCTTAATGTTACATGTGAGGACAAAAACCCAGAGGAATCTGCCTCTCAGCTACACGTGCACAGTACACACACACGCACACACACACACAGACACACAAACTTTGTGGCTCAAGTGCAGGCCACAGCGTGGAAGGAAGACTTGCTCCAGTTGACCACACAATGCTTCTTTTCATGAACTCCTTCCTTCTCAACACAGTTGGGGGGCGGGCCACAGGCCACTCGGAATGCAAGGCTTGGCTTCTGAGTCAAACCTCCCACCCGACGCTTCTGGAAGGGTTGGCCTGCTGGGTATGCTCCCTACTTTGACCTTTGCCAAGTGCCTCTGGCAGTCCCGAGTCCATCTGTCTGGGTTCTCAAAGTTCAGCTGCTGGGACAGCTGACATGGCAGTTTGGATGCTGATCAGTGCAGGGCAAGCCCTGGAAGCCTCCAGAACAAAGGCTAGAATGGCCTCCCTGGTGGGGGTCAACTGTCCTCACTGGCAGCACTGTGGTGTCTTGGAGTGTGGCCAGAGAGAGGGCCTGGGGCTTTAGGCCTGGTCTCCTGGGGGAAGAACCTAGTCTGGCCCTGCCCCTCCGCAGCCCCCGAATAAGCTCCAGGGCTGTCTCTTAATTGCTGGGGAGAGAACAGAGCTGGGATTCTCTTCATAACTTAGACTTTTGGCTCTGAAAAGGCAGACAGGCTGGCTTCCACTGCTACCTAGAGTCCATGCAAAGAGCACCGCTCAGGGATCTGGGTGTCCTTCTGTCTGATGATGGAAACTTTTCAGAGCCATCATTTGTCTACAGCCTTGGGCTCAGTCTCAGATGCACGAGGAAGGGTCTGGAGGACAGGGGCAGGGGGCTTTCAGACGAGAAAGAAGCCAGGTCAGGAGGCTAGGTCTGGACAGCATTCATCCACTCCAGGAAGCTCAGCCTCCAAGGTTAAAATGCCGAACTCAGCAGGTGGCTGGCTGCCTCCAGAATCCCACTCTCTTAACAAGAGTCAAAAACGTTGCCCTTCTGCTCCTCGGCCTGATACGTGAAGGGCGGGCTAGAGAGGCAGATGCCAGAATCCCAGCTAGGGTCCGACCACTTCCATTTAGACCAGGCTGTTGGGTGGAGGGACAGGTCTCTGCTGTGACCTCTAGCCTTGTGTCTAGAGGCAGACACAGCACTTGAGGTGCAGCGTGCTACAGGGACTACTCCAGCCCAGGCAGCGCTCAGGGTCAGAGTGCAGGCAGACACATGCACACGCAAACAGGCACACCACTCCCCCTGCACAGGCGCACACA